AACATTATCAATAAATCCAGCTAATAATAATAATGCAAACAAGTTTGAAGGTTTCCATTGGACAGCAGCCTAAACTGAATTTCAAGCATAAAAGAGGGAAGATAGATATCCCTATTGGTATTTCAGTTTCAACCCTCACAATAGGAACTGCCTCTGCAATTGGTAAGAATACTGGCGATTTCTTCGCATCCAGAAATCCAGCTCAACATTCCATTCAATAGAACTTTCATTCAGTTATAATTTCAGTTGCTCAATACCATGCTAATCAAAAGCATTTGTCAGAGATTATTTGCCCTCACCTGGCATATCATGACCAAGCGTCAATTTAATTTAATTTGTTAAGCAACAAAAGCGAATCGCATTAAACAAATTGCATGGAGTCTATAGCTACATATATAACAAAATAATAGAAATGCAAATATTTGCACAAGTTTCACAAATTATTGCAAATTGCTGGCTCAATTTTCTTAATTATATTTGGAGTCGGCGATTAGAGCCCAGCCGCATCGATTCGTGGACTATAAAAGCCGTGCGAGTGCAGCAGCGAGTCAAGAGCATTTGCCATGTGTGCCCTATTTGTTGTCTGCTTGCTGCTGTGCGTGCTGGGCCTGGGCCGAGGGGAGGAGGAGGAACCCAATGTGCGCCGCATTATGAAGGAGCTGGATGTGATACCCGATGTGCTGAAGGAGCCGCCGCAGGAACTGCTAAAGGTATGTGTCGCATTGCGCTGCGCTTTGCCACTGAAGGGGCTGAGGGCTGCTTTGCATTTCAGCTGCGCTTTGAGAGTGGCATCGACATCGAGGAGGGCAAGACGTACACGCCCACCGAGCTGAAATTCCAGCCGAAACTGGAGTGGAATGCCGATGCGGAATCCTATTATACGCTCATAATGCTGAGTCCCGATGCCCCAAGTCGCGAATATCCCATCTATCGCTCCTGGCTCCACTGGCTGGTGGTCAACGTGCCCGGCCTGGATGTGGCCAAGGGTCAGCCGCTCTCCGAATACTTTGGCCCGATGCCGCCCAAGGAGAGCGGACTCTTGCGCTACGTGGCACTCGTCTACAAGCAGTCGGGCAAACTGGACTTTGAGGAGAAGAAAATGGAGCTGAAAAGCGCCGAGGATCACAGCAACTTCGATCTGGAGAAGTTCACCAAGAAATACGAGATGGACGCTCCATTCGCCGGCAATGTATTTCAGTCCAAGTGGGACGAATATGTGCCAGAGCTGATGAAGATGCTGTACGATATAAATGAGTGAGCAGGGAGTATTATAGAGCCAAGTATGGTGAAGGGTTTCTATAATATATAGATATATGTATATCTCATATTCATTTATAAAGAGAATGTTAGCTAATAAAATGGGCCTTTGGCTCTATTTCGTTTGATATACCTTAAGCTATGAGAATCTCCGAGAACGGCGAATTGAGCATAATATGCAATAGTATGTATCAGGTATGTAATACTTATCTGAGCTTAGCTCATGTCTTCCAATCTGCCAGCTATGGAGCGTCTTAGAGAGGTGAGAGCTTTGATTGATTTAACCTAAATATTTATGTAATAAATATTAATTTCTGTTCTTCATTCAGGTCCATTTTAGTCATAGATCATGAATTTTTATATAGTATGCAAGCACAAGACTGTCTAAACTGCATCAACACTATGAGAATCTCCGAGAGAGGCCCAATTTGTAATTTATTTCCATGATTATCTTAAGATTCCAATCAATTTTCAATTTCAATTGAATTCAATGAATTTTAATTCTTAAAGATTCCCCAAAGACATTCGTAGGTCTTTAGTATATTCGAGAAACTTTAATCTGAGCTGATGGAACTTAATTAAAAATGGCACAGAAAATTGCTCAATGATAAATAAAATGTCTGCATTTCGGCTCTAGCTGAGTTGGCTCGACTTAGCAGCTCGTAAAGTCTCAGTTTGCAGCTTGACAGTGGCAGAACTTGAGAGGCCAAACGTTGCCTAATCGAAATTCAACTAACTTTTACTTAACTAGAAAACTGACGCAAAGCTCTACCTTCAAGAGCCACCTCCATCTCCCCAGCTGCCCCATCAAGAACAACAACAACAACATTGATTGACTTGCTACATTCTCAAAGTGCCTTAACAACAACAACAACAACAACTAAAGCTATGCAGCGTAGCTATCGCCTTGCAGTCGCAGAAAAGTCACTTAAACTTTGCAATCATGATAAGGCGTAATGCTAGATTTCCATTTATATTTCCGCCCCAACACCACCAACGCCACCCCCACGCACAACTGCTGTGAAACAAGTGTTAAAGGTGCAACATAAGAGTCTGTGTAATGCGAGAGTCAAGTTGGCCAAGGAGCTCTGAGGGTTGGGGCCAACTCAAATAGTAACTAAACGCAGGGCACAAAGCGTTTTGCGGCAAACGGCAAATAACCTTAAGGTTAAGATTACAAGGTAATTTGATTCAATTCCACTGATAGGCGTGCCAAGAGCAACAACAACAACAACATCAAGAGAGTCGTCTTTTAATACTGGGGCCAATTCCAATGGCAATTTCCCAGCTCGCCGAGATGACAATGTCGAGATAGGAATTGTTTCTGCATTGCCGCCAGCCAGCCCGAAAAAGTCTTCCACTTCTTCGTCTTCTTCTTCTTGTTATTTTTTTAGAAGTATTTTACTCTTGTTCTTCAGCATCTTGTTTATCAGTTTGTGTATAAATTTGCCTTTATTTTGACATATTTAGTGGGCCGCCTTGGCTCAGCGATAAGGCCAAGGAGCAGCTCATGTGCCGCCAGTCCATTAAAACGCAATACAAAGCCAATAACTAAGTGAGAGCTGGCTAGAGGAAGCTTTCCAGCAATTTGCGAACTGAATTTTAAGCTCTATTTATGTGGGTCAAGTAGTGAGTGGATTTGCTCTATGTGAAAGCATTTTAAGTGATTAAACTTGAGATGTAATTTATGCAATATAAAAAAATTTACCAAAAAAAAAAATAAATAAAAATAAAAAACAAACATATGTTTCTTAAATTGCTTAAGAAAAATATAAATATGAGATTACATAAATTCAAGGCTTAGAAATATTGCTCCCAAATATATAGCATTGTATTTTGCTATTGGACTTTTAAGTTTAAATTTAAAATATTTTTTAGTCATTTAAAAAATAAAAAAAAAAAACATTTTTAATTTCTCTTCTATTCAAGTAGAAGTTTACATCTTAATAATGATAAAAGTAAATAATTTTTTCATTTATTTATTTATTTATTTTTTTTAATATTGATAAAATAAATAAGCATGTATTAGAAATATTTCAATGATTTTTAAAATTTTTAAAAAAATATTTAATACTCTAAGGAACTTTTTTTGGATGTGCCTATCCAATCTTTACAAGAAAATGTATGAAAAAATAAGGAATGGGAGAATATCTCAGTCTGGCTAACATATTTAGAGAGCAGGAAACTTCCCGCTAACAGAAATGCATCTATTACAGTTAAGCTAGGGACGTACCCACACAAAAAAAATTCACCTACTTCCTCAAGAAATCCACTTCAGCTAATCAAATACTTTTCCCGCCAATCTTATGCGTTATACAACACTATTTAGTATGCATTCTATGCACTCGCTCGCCAGCACCAAGACGAAGACGCAGCAGATGCAGTTGAAGCAGAAATAGCGACCCACTTAAAGTGCTAACGATTAATTTCACGCTGCCCTGGTCGCACTTTTCATACATTTTGAATGCTCCCTCGAAGGCAGCAGGAGTAGCAGGAGCCGTCCACATGGCGTATGAGTAATCTGCAGCTATGGCACTGTGGCCAAATCCCCTAGCAGCAGCGCAGTTGTAGTTGTAGTTGTAGCTGTAAAAAGTTGAGCAAGTTTCTTCATATTATTTATCCCATGTGACAAATTTGCTGCAGCAGATTTTCGCCTCTCGCCATAAATTATGCCAAGCTGAGAAAAATCCACAAAAAAAAGAAAGAGGAAAGAACGAGTGGAAATATATGAAAGAAAAGGAAAAGGCAAAAAGTTGTTGAGTTTTGTCAAAAGTTTTGTGCACATTTTAATTTAATAATCGTTGTCGCAGTCGTTAAGTTGAGCCAAAGTTTGAGCGAACTCCCGAGCGGCCACTGCTGATAGCTGAGAGAGCTGGCTGCATTTACATTTGCCTAATAGCCGCCCAATGAGTGAGTGGCCACTTAATTGATGAGCCGTGTTACGCTAGTGTGTGTGTGTGTGTGTGTTTGAATAAATAAAGGCCAAAGCTCAGCTGCTGTTGTTGGTGCTCGATTTTGCATTATTTATTGTTGGCATCGATGACTGTGACACTTGGAAGCGTTCAATATGCGAAACTCTTGCACTTGCATATTGTATAACATTTCAAATGCATGCCTGACAAACCAAGCAAATGACAGCACACAGCACATAGCGGTAGCAGCAGCAGCGGCAGCAGCAGCTGGACTAGTATCCTTCAACCAGGATACTGGCAGGAGCTACTGCTGCCATTGCCAGTGCTGACGTTGTCGTTTCTGTCACACAGTTAAAATGTGATAAATTCCATTAAGTGACAGCCACACACACACAGAGAGAGAGAGAGACACACACACACAGCAAGAAATCCATTTTGTGGGCTCAAATCAAAATGTACCCGCACACACACACCCACACTCACACCCACACACAGACACAGGCACATGTACACCCGCACAAATTCTAAACATCAACTTGAAACTTCATGTTCACATTGAAAGCCAAACTGCCACCAACAGACATTTGTACGCATCGCATATTGAAATTGTAATTTGATTTCTGCCTTTTGCCACCAACAACAATAGCAACAACTCTTCAACTGTCCAACTCCCTCTCTCTCCCCCCTCGCTCTCTCTCTCTCTCTCTTTTTCTATCTGTCAGCTATTCGTACTGCAGCAGAGCTCTCTATAATTTAGTCCAGAAATCGTTTTACTGTTGTTTCACAACTGAATGTCTCTTAATCAAATCTGAAGATCAAACGAGCTCTGCGTAAAGATTTTTGTTTGATTTGGATTTTTCTTTGAATATTTTTAATGATAGAGTAATGCATTGCTATAAAAGCCCACAAATTTTATATGGAATATACAGATTTTATATAGAACAAATTTAAAAGAGATTTTCAGTTTTATATATTTAAGAATAAAAAATAAAAAGAAGAGAGCTAATATGAATGAAAAAAATAAAATAAAAATAAAATCTATACGAGGACATGTTTACATTTATATAAAATATTGAATATATATAAAAATATATAATATATATATAAGAAAATTAAATCTTGATGAGATTACAACACACGAAAATAGATTTCCATCAATCTATTGTTAAATCAGATTTATTTTGTGTATGATTTTCCTATTTACTAATTTTTTTGCAACTCTTATAGAAACTCTCTATAGTAAGAGCATCTGCCAAGAGAATAACTCAAGTCGCCTGCATGCTCTGCCATCGCTTTGCAACAACTTAACAGGTGTTAAGCATTTTGTATATAAATTGAGTGTAGCCCGAGAATGGATTCCAATTTGTTGTTAAGTGCGAAAGGCAAGAGCTGTAGCCATGGAATTCTCAATTGTGGCTATAGTTTAGCAAAAGTACGAATAATATATTTTATACAAAAGTATTTTAGCAGCTTGAGCCAAGCAAACAAAGAACAGAGACTCTATCGTTCCATTGTTGTGTATGTTAAGATGATAGCTATATTTTTGTTAAACAACCTTTGTACTGGATTTCTAATATTTACATGCCATTAACTTAATACATGCCAAGTATTGGGAAAGAGAAAGAGAGAAAGAGACAGAGAGTGAAAGAAGGGAGAGGAAGACGACGAGAGGCTAAAAGATGAAGAGAAAGAAAGATGACGAGATCCACTGTGAAGTGAGATAAATTGGGAATGAAAGAAAATATAGAACAACAATTTTAAAAATGTAAGAAACAATTTTCCATATAGTTGAATAATCCTATTAAATCTAGAACTTGAATAGAAAATATATCTGTCAAACATCGAAGTTATATAAATTTCAACATAATACCAACCATAGCCCTTCCTTTTATTTCTAATTAAACTCCTTCTGATCTTTGATAATTATTATTATTATTATTATTATTATATCTACATTCAATATTATAGAATTTTTATTCTTAAAAGTAGCCTTTAAATTAAATTGAAAATTTTAACTATATAATGATAATTAACAATAAATAAAAAATAAAGTAATTAATGCCGATTACTCTTTGCGGAATGCATTCATTTCATGCACATTCTTAAATACTTCAGCTGAGTGCAACGGATGTC